TGCGGATGGACTGCCGAGCCGGGGCACTTGAGATAGGGGCAACACTGGCGGCGGGTTGGCATATGCGACCGTGTTGGACTAGTCGGAGCAAGCGCGTATTTGTGGCCAGTTGTGAAGATGCACGTGAAGTCAATCCGGCGCGTAATACGGCCTCGCTTTGGAAAGTCCTGGCCATTGCGGGGCTCATCTGCTTACGAATATAGAAAGTATCCTTCGTAGAATGATGGCACCGTCCTGCTTCCAGTTCAGCCTTTTGCGCGGTGCGGGGGAGCCTAGCGTGAGTGACGGTCCTGTCCCCCCCCCCCGTCCCACCCCACCTTGAAGTGGATCGCGTACTCCCTATAGAACTGACCTCGTGGGAGCAGCCGTGCCCGCTACGCGGATTAGAACACGTTCGCGTTGCAGGGCGTTTCCGTGTGACGCTGTCATAATCGCGCCCTCTCCAGTACTTCCTGCAGCCGCGCGAGAACAACCGCGTGATCGCGCACGACCTCGGCTCGCTGCGGGTCAAGCTGCAGCAGTACACCTCAGACAGGTTCATCAGCTCGAAGCACTACGACCAGCTTCTGAACCTGATCCTGCAGAGCCCGGCGTCCAGGTGCGTGGCTGGAGCCCGAGCGAGGCGGGACGACGCCTGGCCTGGCGCCGTTCAGCTGGCCAGCTCCGGGAGGCGGTGGGAAACGCCGCGCAGATCGGGCGGTGTTCACTGCGCTTTTAAAGCACGATGTTTGCATAATGGAGCGTTGCGCACCTTGTCCTCAAACGGTGGTATGCATGCAATCTGCATGTGATGAACACTTTCTCGGGTGGTGTTAGCATTTCGTGCGCCGCAGTTCATACATACCCACCCGGTCGCTGAGCAAGTGCGCGTGGGGACTCCAGACCGTGTAAGATGGCTCGAGGCGCGCTGTCACCACATCCGGCGGTGTTCGCCTTTCCCTCGCTGCGAACGGGCGAGGTGAGAGACGACGCCGGACACCGGACGGCGGCACCGGCGCTGTCGTGTCGAGCGGCCGTATCACCCCCCCCCCCCTTCCCTCCCCTCCCCCCCCCCCCCCCCCTCTCCCCCACCGACGCCCGGTTAGACGCTGACCGATGGGACGCCGCCGGCAGCCGGTAACCTGCAGCGCTGTCTACATCCTGGGCGAGGTGGCCGCCAACAAGCAGGAGGCGGCTGAGCCGCTGGTCCGGATCTTCCTGCATCATGGCAAGATTGTGTCTCTCATTGAGTCGCTTGCCGAGTGGGAGATCGCCCATGAAACGTTAGTGTTCGGCCCGCGGCGGCAATGTGGGCGAAGCGGACGTTCCAAGTAGTCTCAGGGTGAAGGCGCGCTTAGCGTTCGTGACCTGGGTTGTGACATTATCTCAGCACGTGAATGTTATGAAACAGCGTCGAGGCTGTAAGTTGATGGGGTTAAGTTATGCCTCACACGTCATTGAACGGCATGTTGTGATAGGCGATTTGCAGCAGGACAGCGGGTTCGGTGCACGACATGTCACGGTCGTGTGTCCCATTTACAGCCACTTGAACACCATCTTCCGCGGCAACACACTCGTCTCCAAGTGCATGGACGAGCTGATGAAGCTGGCCGGCCTGCACTACCTGCACACGGTGCTGAAGCCGGTGGTGGAGCGGATCGCGCAGGAGAAGAAGCCATGCGAGGTACGGAGAGCGGCCGGGTTTCGTACACTGGCCCTGTTTCCGCCCGCTCGGCCGACCCCCTGTTAACGGTCGGCTGGGGCTTGCGTGAAGAGCAGGACGGCGGCATCGCCCTTATATTCGGTGCGCATAATTGCGTTTTTTTTATTTTTGTGGGGGTATAAAGAATTGTTCGTCAAGATAGGTCTTTTTACGGATATCAGTGTCATGGTTACGTTTTTAGCTGTTTCAGTGGACGTTATGGTCCTCGTAAACGATGTTATCGATCTTAATAGGTCGTTGTTGTCTCGTGGATCTGATGGTGTTCATTCACTAAAAACTGGACCGGTTGTTCTTCTACGCCTAGCGTGTTCGGCTGCACGTGGTTGGCCGCGTCTGTAACGCCCGCCCGCGCGCGCGCCCAGGTGGACCCGGGCAAGATCGGCGACGCCGAGCGGCGGATCGACGCCAACCTGTCCAACCTCAAGGACTACATCCGCGCGAGACGTTCGGGCCATCATCAACTCGGCCTACCAGTGTCCCTCGATCATGTGCCGCGTCTTCTTCGCGCTCAAGCGCCAGGCCAAGCTGCGGTTCCCAGGTACGCTGGTGGCGGCGGGACGTCGGGCCCCCGTCAGCGAAGCGGGCCCGGCCTTGGTGTGCGCTTTGACCCGGCGTCGGCAGCCGAGTGCCGCCGGCTGGGACGCTCCCGCCGCGGTCCTCGCGGCGGCTCCGATGCGGTGTCGCGTCCCGCGGGCCCACCAGAACCGGACCGCAGGGTGCGTCGCGGGCCTCAGCACAGCGCGAGTCGCCGCCGCTGGTGCCGTGTGTGACGCCATGTGGTCGCTCCGCAGACAACCAGGAGGTGCAGTACTGCGTGTCCGGCTTCGTGTTCCTGCGCTTCTTCGCTCCGGCCCTGCTCAGTCCGAAGCTGTTCGATCTCACTCAGGAGCAGCTGGTGAGCGAGCTGGCCCGCGGGGCCGTGCCAGCCGCCGCGGCGTGATTGGATTCATGCATCCCGGCGTCCAAGAGGAATGTGTGTAGAAAAGCAGGGGGTTGGGCCGTACAGTCCTGTAGTCGCCAGGGTCTCGTCGGCGCTTAGTCCGTGTTGTAGTGTTTGAGTGTTGTAGTGTCGCGATGATTCATCACGAGCGAGCTCCCGCGCCGTTTGCTGGCGTCCGGCACCCTGGGCAGCGAGGTAGCGCCCCGACCGCGGCTAATATGCTCGTGCACGTGAGCATGTGTTGGTAGGCGACCAGCGAACAGGCGTCGAGCTGCGGGGCCTCAGGCTTCCGAGAGGTATGAAATGTACACGTGAGGCATTGGTGAGGAGCGGAGCGTTGTTAGCCGTAGCGCTGTCCAGCCTGACCATAAGCTGGAGTGATGCGGCTCGCCTGCCCCGGTTGTGCGCAGTGACATGTGGCACGTCTGTGGGCAGGACCCTCAGACGAGTCGGGCCCCGATGATGACGTGACACGTCTGTGGCGCAGGACCCTCAGACGAGTCGGGCCTCGTTGATGACGTGACACGTCTGTGGCGCAGGACCCTCAGACGAGTCGGGCCCCGATGATGACGTGACACGTCTGTGGCGCAGGACCATCAGACGAGTCGGGCCTCGGCGATCACGTGACACGTCTGTGACGCAGTACCCTCACACGAGTCGGGCCTCGTTGATGACGTGACACGTCTGTGGCGCAGGACCCTCAGACGAGTCGGGCCTCGATGATCACGTGACACGTCTGTGGCGCAGGACCCTCAGACGAGTCAGGCCCCGATGATGACGTGACACGTCTGTGGCGCAGGACCATCAGACGAGTCGGGCCTCGGCGATCACGTGGCACGTCTATGACGCAGGACCCTCAGACGAGTCAGGCCCCGGTGATGACGTGACACGTCTGTGGCGCAGGACCATCAGACGAGTCGGGCCTCGGCGATCACGTGACACGTCTGTGGCGCAGGACCTCAGACGAGTCAGGCCCCGTGATGACGTGACGTGACACGTCTGTGGCGCAGGACCTCAGAGAGTCGGGCCTCGGCGATCACGTGACATGTCTGTGGTGCAGGACCCTCAGACGAGTCGGGCCTCGTTGATGACGTGATACGTCTGCGGTGCAGGACCCTCAGACGAGTCGGGCCTCGTTGATGACGTGATACGTCTGCGGTGCAGGACCCTCAGACGAGTCAGGCCCCGGTGATGACGTGACACGTCTGTGGCGCAGGACCATCAGACGAGTCGGGCCTCGGCGATCACGTGACACGTCTGTGGCGCAGGACCCTCAGACGAGTCGGACGCTGAAGCTCATCTCCAAGACCATCAACAGCCTGGGCAGCTGCGTCGGCTCCCGCAGCGCCGTAACGTTCAAGGAGGAGTACATGACGCCGGTCAACCAGGACTTCTTCAACGATAGCTACCTGCAGAAGCTGCGGCTGGTACGTGGTCACAGGCGCGAAGACCCCCCGTTAAAGCGTGGTCGGAATGATCACGGTCTGTCATTGCGATGTTCCTAGCTCATCCCCCGTTAAAGCGTGGTCGGAATGATCGCGGTCTGACATTGCGATGTTCCTAGCTCATTTGCAGCCGGACTTGCCAAAGTCAGAAGGCGTGACTGCTCGTCTCAGTCCAGCTATGCGATACCATTGTAGCCCGTCACGGCCCGCGTCACGCGCGTCGAGCTCTCGAGCCCTGGTAACGCGGACACAGTGGCCGGGCTGGGCCGCCTGTGGCCGGAGTGGCGGTCCAGACTGGCACCGTCCCTGACGTGTGGCGGACGCGGTTTCAGTTCCTGGACGTGATATCGACGGAGTCGGCTCCCCACCAGGCCCTGGATTCGCCGATCATACTCAAGGAGGGGTACGTGCAGCAACTGTTACAGCGCCTTCTCCTGACAAAATTCATTGGGGTCGTCAGGTTTTTACTCATTATGATCTTTTTCAAACTGTGAGCCGGCACAACATTAAACTTTCCGCCATTACTGTCGATTTCGCTTCGTCGTGTTGCCCATCTAAACGTGCCGCGCATGGGCATGCTGTAATGGATGAGGAAAGGCGACTCTGATGAAGGAGATGTGACTCGATCGGCAAGAGCAGGCCACGCGACCGTGTGCAAATCTAACTAGTTTCCTTTCGTCCAGCTGCCCGAACGGAAAACTGGTAAGACGACGGCGCGTTTCCGGTTGTGGGACGTTGCTTGGTTCCCCTGCGATCGCACGTGTAGATCGTCGCCCGTCCCCAGCGCAACAGCCAGATCTCGCAGCGCAGTACCCATCGGGCACCAAGTCGGGTCTATGCGGTCGGCCGGCGGCGAGCAGTGGGTCCGTGCGGTCGGCCGGCGGCGAGCAGTGGGTACGCGCGGTCGGCCGGGGGTGGCCGCCGCGCTCCGGCCTCGGCGGCGCCTGTCACCTGTTCTCGAGCAGCGCCGCTCTCGTTGCAGGGTGCTGGTGAAGCGGGCTATGGGCCGCCGGCTCATGGGTCTGAAGAACTTCCGACAGCGCTACTTCTGCCTCACCACACGCAGCCTGACGTACGCGGCCCACAAGGGTGAGCAGCTGGCCGGGCCTCGGCCGTCTCCGGGCGGCAGCGGACTGTACAGCGGGCCGGGTCTCTACGGTCTCCGGGCGGCGGACTGTGGGACGGCGGGCCGGGCCTCGGCCGTCTCCGGGCGGCGGACTGTGGGACAGCTGGCCGGGCCTCGGCCGTCTCCGGGCGGCGGACTGTGGGACAGCTGGCCGGGCCTCGGCTGTCTCTGGGCGGCGGACTGTGGGACAGCTGGCCGGGCCTCGGCTGTCTCTGGGCGGCGGACTGTGGGACGGCGGGCCGGGCCTCGGCTGTCTCCAGGCGGCGGACTGTGGGACGGCGGGCCGGGGCCCGGCCGTCCTCGGGCGGCGGACTGTGGGACGGCGGGCCGGGCCTCGGCTGTCTCTGGGCGGCGGACTGCGGGACAGCTGGCCGGGCCTCGGCTGTCTCCGGGCGGCGGACTGTGGGACAGCTGGCCGGGCCTCGGTGTCTCTGGGCGGCGGACTGTGGGACAGCTGGCCGGGCCTCGGCCGTCTCCGGGCGGCGGACTGTGGGACGGCGGGCCGGGTCTCTACCGTCTCCGGGCGGCGGACTGTGGGACAGCTGGCCGGGCCTCGGCTGTCTCCGGGCGGCGGACTGTGGGGGAGGGCCGGGTCTCTACGGTCTCGGGCGGCGGACTGTGGGACAGCTGGCCGGGCCTCGGCTGTCTCGGGCGACGGACTGTGGGACGGCGGGCCGGGCCTCGGCTGTCTCGGGCGACGGACTGTGGGACAGCTGGCCGGGCCTCGGCTGTCTCTGGGCGGCGGACTGTGGGACGGCGGGCCGGGTCTCTACCGTCTCCGGGCGGCGGACTGTGGGACTGCGGGCGAGGCGCTACGGCGGCCATCAGCCAGGGCTCAGCGAGCGTTGGAGGCGGCTGGAAATTTACACGCCGTTCACGTCATTCACAAGGCTGTCAGGACATTGGTCAGCTGTTCTCGTTGTACGCGTGCTTTTTGGGGCGTCGTTATGCATCATTTTACGACTTGAAATCTGACCTGCAGCACTTTTAAGGATTCAACCGAAGTTGATTGGACTATGTGACTTTTTATTCTTAACATCGCGGTTAGCATCGCTGGCGTGTCATCTATTCCTTTCATAGCGAAAGCAACCCAGTGTGTCCCCCTCCCCTATTTGTCAAACCGTTTTTCCTCACTTCAGCAGTAGCCAGGGCCGGGGCGCGACGTCCTGGAGCGGGGCTGTTGGTCCGTCCCTCGCCGTGCGCCGGGTCATGGGACGGTGTCTGGCCGGCGGCGGACGACGCCCAGTACCTCACAGCCGAGTGTCTGATAGAGCCGTCCTTGCCCCAGGACAACGGCCCCTGCACGAGATCCCCGTGGACAACATCCGGACCGTGGAGCTGGTGGATGAGGCGCAGTTCAAGAAGAAGAACATGTTCAAGCTGGTGCAGCCGGACAAGGATCTGTACATACAGGTGTGTGCAGTTTGTTTTCATCACAGCCCAGCTATAGATTATTTGGGTGCCAGAGTCCCGGGTTATTGCAAGCATTAGACACGTGGCATGTCCCACGCTTGCATTACCTAGTTGTTGTTTTTTGTTTTGTTATCGTGCAATGCATACGCAAAGACAGCAGTTGTACTTTTGCTTCTGCTACTGCTTCACACTGAGTTAATGAATCGAAGGCCAGCCCTGATTGTCTCTACAATTCACGGGCTACGCCTGGAGCCAATAACACAGCCCCGTGACAAGGTCTACCCGCCTGTCTAGCTCGCCGCGGTCAGCGGTGGCTGCCATCCCCCCCCCCCCACACACACACACGCGCAGACGTACACACAACACCACCTGATGCCGGCCGCTCCGCAGGCCAACAACTGCGTCGACCAGAAGGCCTGGGTGGACATCTTGTCCAAGGTGTGCGCGCACAACCAGGACAAGACGGACCAGTTCCACCCTGGCCAGTTCCGGGACAATATCTGGACCTGGTGAGGGCGGGCCGGCGGGCCGGACAGAGACGGCCGCCGACGCGGCGGGGTCGCATGGTCTTGGACGTGCTCACTGGTTGGGGGGACCATGGCGGCGTGCCCTGTATTCTGGACGTTGTGATCGTGTTCGACTCGACGCGTCATGTCCGACGTACGCACGGCACACGCGATGTTCTGGTTATACAGGCATGTTCGACTCCCCCATTCTAGTATGTCCGGGTACCTATGTATGGCAGGATCTTGGGTGAAGTGTTGATGCTGAGAGCGGCGGCCGGCTGCGGCGGCAGACCGCCACGGCCGCGCGTGCGACGGCTGCCGGTCCCGCTGGCCTGGAGCCATCCCCGTGTGTCTGTGGGCCGCGCCGCCGCCACCCGTGACCTGACCTGACCTGACCGCGCCGTGTCCAGCTGCCGGACGCCGACCAAGAACGCCATCGGCTGCGCGCCGGTGACGGCCGATAAGCTGCACGCCGAGATCAAGCTGGCCGCCGACAGCGACCGCGAGATGGAGCGGGGTGTACGCCTTGTTCGCCGCTAATCTTGACGAGCTCGGCAAGCTCAAGGGTCAGTATTGGCGCCGCTCTCGCCGCGTGATCCGTGCTGGTCCGGAGATTCTGAGTTTGACGCTCGGGGCAGTGCGGGGCGTAGCATCTGGAGCGCCTGGCCACAGAGCCCGGGGTGTAGCAGAGCCTCAGCCGGCAGAGTTTGTCGTTTTCTGATAGCGAGTCACTTAGCGTGATAGTGTCCCTACGTCACAAAGCCCTGCGCGAGAGACGCTGAGCGAGCTCACAGTCACCGTTGGTTGGATATTGGTGCCATTGAGCGTATCACGTGCGGGCCCAGTCGTGTGGGAAAGGTAATCTTACGCAACACGCGATGTCTTGCCGGCAGACGAGTACGCCTGTAAGGCCGTGTACTTGGGCGACCCCGACTACGAGATCCAGGACACGGAGGTGGGCTACAAGACCATCAACAGCATCGTGTCGGCGGTGATCTCGCTGGAGCAGGAGCACCGCGACCACAGCCGCAGCCTGGCACGGGGCATCCGCTACGGCTCCCGGTCAGTCGGCGCCGGTCGCCCTCTGGCGGGTGCCGAGCGCGCGCGTTCGCCTGGCGCGCGGTACCGGCGTGTGGGCGCAGACCTGTGCACACGAGCCTGCGTAAATAGCATGCTGTCGTGATTCCGGGTACGGGCGGCTGAAGTCTATCATCAACGTTGAGATGGTTGTCAAGGTTCAGCTTGTCACGAAACATGCGACGATTGTTAAGACCCAGGAGAATAGGCATGTGAAATGCAATAGGCAGATAAGAAAAGACCAGATGACTTCCCAGAGTAATGGAAGTGTGCTGTTATTAGCATTAGACATTCGACTTTGACCGTTTTACGTACTTTAATAATGAGCAAAGGTACATGAAATTAAGAAGCATGTCAAAATAAGGTCTACCTAGCTGCTATTTCGATCTCAGCCCTTATGCATTAAAGTTCCAAAAATAGGTTTGCCGATTCAACCGACCGCATCGCGACCTCGTGCGTCGCCACTGGAGTGTGGTGACGGCCTTCTCTGCGCTGGCAGGATGGCCCCGATCGGTGACGACAACTACCTGCAGCTGCGGGCAGCGGCCGCCTCCGACTCAGCGCCACACCAGCGTCGCTTCCGGGTCAGCGGCAGCCCCGGCTAGCGGCGGCGGCCACCGCCGTCGCCGCCGTCGCGCCGCGCCGCGTCGCGCCGCGCGCCACCTAGTCAGCCGTCGGCCCAGCCGCAGGCCGGACCACCGCTCAACGACAAACAATACTCTGGCGGCCGGGCGCGCCGCCGCCGGGCCGGCGCAGCGGGCGGCGCGGCCGGGACCAGCTGGCCGCCGCCACCGCCCGGCTGCCCGGACCGCGTTTGTTTTGCATTTATTAGTGCGGTAAGCCTGCGGCCAAGCGACCGCCACAGGGCTGGCTGTTGGAACTGCGGAGATTGCCGGGCGCCGCCAGCGTCCAAGATCGCATTTTCTCTTTAAGCTCGTGAAGTGGATACCTCTTACTTATGTTTACGTAGTTGACAACGTTTAGTTACTTTCTAATACTCATGGACTGGATGAAACTTAGCTTGGAGTGACGAAAGGTTTTGATATGATCTTTGGTGTCTGCCGGCTTTTGTGCGTTGGTTGGTGATCGTTGTTTGTTGACAGTGAGCTCGTCGTGTCCGCCATAATTCGCTAGGGCCCATTCGCATGTGGCTAACTGCAGGAGTCGTGCATGGCGTCGTGGCATTTTGTTCCCAGTCTGATGTGGGCGACTGTAGTTTAGGCGTGGCGGCCCGCGAGCCCGCCGGCGGCGTCGGCGGCGCGCCGGCCGCCCGTGATCTCATGTCGGAGGTGTGGGCGGCGGCAGTGGCGCGCGCCACCGGCGCCCGGCCGCCCGCGCCCGCCCTGCCGTCAACCGGCGCTGTCCGCCGCCGCCAGCCGCCATCGGCCCGACGGTCCAGCTGGAAGTGCCGATCTGCCGCAGTGGCCGGCCCAATGCCCCTCCCCCCCCCTCAGCGCTGCCATATGTTTTGTGACGTTGTAACTGACCGGCACCGTTTGGAGTGCGCTCCCGAGGCGCGCCTCGCACCCGCTGAAAGCCTAGCCAAATTAGATTATTTATTGATTGTTACGGGGCGCGTGTGGACCGCTGTTACGTGGTTGAACCGAGGTCAGTGTCAGGAGCTCCGTAGCTTGAGAGCGCCCCCCCCCCCCCTCCATTGTAGCCCCATGTGTAGCCGGGATCGCGACCCCCGGTCCTCATAGTCCCCCTCCCCCATATCGTGTTCAGTAACACCGGTAACCCGCCGCTTATCGCATGTAATGCTAACGAGGCGCCCCACCGCACGCCGCGTCGTGCGGAAGGATAACAAGTCAGCCGCCAGCTAACGCTTGGCGCGGTCGCCGCCCAGCCGGCGCCGGACCCGCCCCAGGCAGACCCTGGTCCCGCCCGAGGCAGGCCCTGGACCCGCCCGAGGTAGACCCCGGACCCGCCCGAGGTAGGCTCTGGACACGCCGGAGGCAGGCCCAGGATCCGCCCGAAGTAGGCCTTGGATCTGCCCGAGGCAGACCTTGGTCCCGCCCGAGGCAGGCCCTGGACCCGCCCGAGGTAGACCCTGGACCCGCCCGAGACAGACCTTGGTCCCGCCCGAGGCAGGTCCTGGTCCCTTCCGGGGTAGGCTTTGGTCCCGCCCGAGGTAGGCCCTGGACCCGCCCGAGTAGGGTAGGCCCTGGACCCGCCCGAGGTAGGTTGGTCTCGCCCGAGGGAGGCCCTGGACCCGCCAGAGGGCAGGCCCTGGACCCGCCCGAGGTAGGCTTTGGTCCCGCCCGAGGGAGACCCTGGACCCGCCCGAGGCAGACCTTGGTCCCGCCCGAGGCAGACCTTGGCCCCGCCCGAGGCAGGTCCTGGTCCCTTCCGGGGTAGGCTTTGGTCCGCCCGAGGTAGGCCCTGGACCCGCCAGAGGTAGGCCTGGACGCCCGAGGTAGGCCCTGGACCCGCCCGAGGTAGGCCCTGGACCCGCCCGAGGGAGGCCTGGACCGCCGAGGCAGGCCCTGGACCCGCCGAGGTAGGCTTTGGTCCCGCCCGAGGGAGGCCTTGGACCCGCCGAGGCAGGGCTGGACCCGCTGAGGCAGGGCCGGACGCGTCGGCCCGTGCCACCGTATTTTAATACATTTGTAACAAAGCGCACCGGCCGTGTTTAAGCCTCGGGGAGTCGGAGGAGTGCAGGCGGGACTGGGCGCTGCTGCAGCGCGGTCTTGGGTCGAGCTGGCGCGTGGGGGTCGCTCCGGGCCCACTGCGCTCAGTGAGTGCGAAATGGCCGGGCGGTGTGGGCTGGTGCCGCATGACAGACTGCGAGCAGGAATTTGTGCGTTGACGCGCAGTCCGCGCCGGCCCCGGTGGGTTGTTCGCCTGGTTTTGCGTGGTGTGCGTGAGCCTTCCGTAATCTGACACATCTGAGGGATGTTGAAGCCAAGGACCGCACACCGGGCGGCGGGGAAGCCTCGCTCCCTTTCTCTAGGAATGTACGCCTGTGGTGTTGCTTAAAAGGAAACGGTTGAATGCGCATTGTCTCCCCTTCCATTTCCGACCCGTGCTGGAATGCAGTGTCGGGCGCGCTTCTTCAGAGGTTTGAGGCACAATCTGTTGTGTTACGTATGATCTGGTCCAGAATGCTGTAAATCTCAGAAACACCTCTGAAACCGTCGTAGAAGAAACCCGATGATATGTCGTAATCTAAGGTAATCAAGGTTTGATCCATCTTCCTATTAATATCCGAGTGGAACATAATGGATAGGAAAATCATGGCGCTCTTCCAGGACAGATCGACTATGCTGAGCTCTCCGTGGTGCATCGAAAGCGGTGACCTCTACAGAGGTCACCAAACACCAGGAAGCAACAATGTGGTTTTGCAGTGACAGTGTGTGTGGGGGGGGGGGGGGAGGCTGAAGCGTAAAATGACTCAACCTAGCCCCATAATAAACAGACGAGCTCCTCCCGGATCTCGCCCATTTTCTTCCCAAGGATGAGATGTTGGAACCCAAGTCGGGAATAGCTTCAGCCCCTCCCCCCAGCTGAACGACAAGCTCCACACCCCCGACCAGGTGGATCTTCGACACTCCACTGTACACTCCACTTCATTCTACCATATGACGCTCGGCCGGTTAAAGCGCACCGAAATTTGGAAACCACTCCACTTCCGCTGACACATTCACTTCCATCTTACATCTTAGTTTGGGGTGCAATTAGTCTAGCGGGCGACCCTAGACTGAAGTCAGGTCACGTGGCGGCCTCGTGCCGGTCTGCTTGAGCTGCACATGTCCAGGCAGCATATGACACATGTCCAGACAAGTCTTGTAGTATCATTGGTGTCATGGAATGACACAGTTTTGGATTTAATAGCACGACATGAGATAATCTGTATATGGCCCAGCACATTATTTCCCATTGCCTTCCACACGGTCTGGAATGTGCCCTACCGCCTTCAGCACGGTCTGGATGACCCCGACCTCATTTCCTTCAAATCGCTACAGATGACCACACGAGATTACGTCGACCACTCCGCCTTTTGCGGGCCATGGAAAGCTCGGCCTTCGGAGGTCAACAAACCCTACACCACTATTCATCGCTGCCTGCGCCCATTTGTCCATTTCATGTCCGGCAAACAAGGTCATGGTCATGCACCACCTCTGCTGCTAACTGGGTCATATGGGTCAAGGTCATGCCAGAATCCACCTTAAGTTATTTTTGTTGGATCCATCCAGGCTTGCATCACAATGTTAAAGTGCAAGAGGCCAGGCGACTGAAGCAGACCCAAGGCCAGATTAGGTCACTCAATGACCTTGCATGAACACACATCATGGACACATCCAGATAGCATACTTCCAGTGAATGTCCTGGATGAGTCAAATAGTGTCATTGCTGTCATGAGTAATGCATAATGCATAAATCTGGACAAAGGAAGTGGTCTGCTTTGAAAGTTTTGAAATGTTTACAATATAGGTGCTCAACAGCACTGCTGAGCATTTGACACCTGGTGAATGATTACAGCAGGGGTGGTGCTGTCAGCTGTCAGCCCAATGCTGTTGACAACAGCAAGGGTGGTAGAGAGGTGGTAGAGAGGGGATGCAGTTAGCAGCAGGGTCGGTGCAGTCAACAGCAGAGGCGGGCAGTTGCAGTCAGCGGCAGAGCCAATGTTGTCGGCAGCAGAGGTGATGGAGGTGGTGCAGTCAGCAACAGGGTCAATTCAGTCAGCAACAGAGGTGGCATGGTCAGTAATGTTGTAGAGGGGTGGTGCAGTGAGCAGCAGGGTCCATGCAGTGAGCAGCAGAGGTGGTGTGGTCAGCAGTGGGGTTGGTACAGTTAGCAGCAGAGGTGGTGCAATCAGCAGTGGGGTTGGTGCTGTCAGCAGCAGAGGTGGTGCAGTTAGCAGTGGTGCTGGTGCAATCAACAGTAGAGGTGGTGCTGTTACCTGTGATACATGGTGACTCTGGCCATGTCATCACTGTCTGGGGTGATCCTGGGGATTGTGAGTGATCTGGTTCTGCTCAGCTGGCCATGTAAGACATGCAAGAACATATATAATAACATTTGCATTCCATACATTGTGCTGATAGTTTCTCTTACTCCAAAAGGAATGGAGGAATGAGGAATCATCCCAGATAAGACCAATGGCATAGGGAGCCCTGTCAGAGAGTATTAATCATATTAGCAAAAGCACATATGCATCATGCAGTGTTTCACATGGAATTAATCCTTACATGAGACATTGTCTATAACTGTGTGCAAAATGATGGAATTGCTATATATATCTTATTTGTTGGTGGCACCTGTTGATGCGAAGAGCTGAAAACAAGATGGCACATATTCATTTCTTGTATTGACTAAAGAATGAAGCAAAGCAAAGCATACACCACCAAATTGGCATCCCAATGGAAACTACACATACATCTACTAAAATATTTACCAACACTTCAGCCCTTCAGGAGCCTTATTCTAAACATTTTAGCAACAAAGTCACAAATGCATTTACTCAGATAACTTTGGCAAGTCAACCACAGCATAACCTATGACTTCACCATCATGGAATACTGCTGAGCCAGCCTGTCAAACTCATTCTCCTTGCCTGGTAGTCTCTCATGAATGGGTGGCTAGCATGAGAGTCCTTCAGCTGGCTGAGATATCTGGCAATACTTCTGGAGGCTTTCCAGTGTGCTGCGAGAGGACAATCAGGTTGATCAGGGTTTCTGGGTTGTCGTTATCCTTATCCAGAGCATTTTGTAATACAGGCTCTGCCTCCTCATACTTGCACATCCCAAGAAGCATGCAGCTTGACCATTGAGCAGCAATGGTGTGGGAACAGACTTGTCAATAAGCTCCTGGAAGATGTAGAATGCATCCTGGAGCTTTCCCCTCCAACAGCAATGTTGAACCATGCATGGGCAAGCTGGGTGACTGTTGAATCATCATCCTTCTCCTGCATTGCTTTCAGTTCCTTCTGAGCAAGATCAACTCTGTCCATTGCAAGGTACATCTGGAGTGTCAGTGCTGAGCACTCAAGGTCTGTTGCTTGGTGCAGGACCTCAGGGCTGCTTCATGGTTCTGTTCATTTGCATAAATTGTTGCCCCTGCCAAAAACAGAGCCACATTGTTGGGATCAATGTCACCTGCAAAACTTCTTGTCCAGTTCTGTCACAACCTGATCTCGCTTGGATCGTGAACCAGACAGGTACTCAGCCAAGAGTTTCAAAGCCTGCAATTCTGGTGTGATGCCCATGAATTTCATCTTTCACAATGCTGAACTTTTTCAGAGCAATGTACGCCCTGTACAAGAACACATCTTGCCAGCCGCTGCTCTTGTCCATTTACCTTCAGCTTTTGAGCTTCTGTTATGCACTGTTGATAGTTGCCCAAATAAAAGGAATTTTTCACTTCAAACAGCTCATCTACGTCATTTCCCTGGCTCCCCATCATCCGTTCCGGAATATGCCGTTTAATGTGGCCGACACTGCTCTGCCACACGTTCAGTCAGCACGCAGCTCCGCTTGCCAAACCGCCCTGATTCGGGGATCTGTTTTAAAAACCTCTAAAACAAATCCGAAATCACCATAGACTATAAACAGTAACCACCGCGCGGACCTAGTCGCTGCTATCTTGCAAAGTGGCGTATTTTAACGCACCTGCCCGAAACCAAGGCTCGATTGTAACGACAGCAGCGCGGCATACCTGACGCGATATGTTGACGTGTAAGGAAACAGCAGTACCAAATCAAAATCGACCGGCAAAGCCGCGCTGCTACGCATTTCGGCTACGCATATTGCATACGAAGCGTTGTAACAAACTGTATAGTAGTTTGAACAGCCGACTAACTGCCAATTGTAGACTTGATTCATTAAAGTTCAGGCTTTTGTACCGCGCTAAGGCATATGCAAAACGGGCGCGGACCATGCGACCAGCTGGAGGAAGTAAGTGAATCCTTTTTTATTTTTTATGTTGTTAACTTCCACCTAGCATAGTAAATGGTGTTTTATTTTGAACATGGTTTGTAACTCTCTTATTATTCCCGCAGAACCTGATCCGCTCCGCTTTCAAGCGGCGGTTGGGCGTTTATCTTCAACCATAGAACACATTCATTCCATACCGTCGCACGTACGTTCAATAAGATGTATTGTGATGATATACTAATGAGAGACACTGCACTGAACATAATAAAGTATATAAGTATTTCTCATTATCATTATCATGGTGTTTTCCCTTGTTTTTACAACATTTTTGCAACTCATGATATACTGTCTATTAGTACCAATAGTTTCATTCAAATCCGAGAGTTTGGAGCAGTCAGCGTCATTGCCCTTCTCTATCACTGGGAAACCAAAGTGGAGCTGGGGGAAGATGGCTGATGAGGGCGATATCATTGGTGTCGGGAGTACTGTGTACTGCAAGAATTGTTTCGACGAAGAAATAACGGGAGAAGTTATTGCGTTTGAGAGGCAGACGAAGTTTCTGGTTTTGAGTATCCTTTTCGCCTTATGTCGGAGTGAGGTTGTGTGCGTCGGATTAGTCTCGCACGCCGGTCGCACGTGAAATGTGTTTAGAATGCATTTTTAATATTTTAATTGAATTTGAAAGGAAATAATGACATGAGATTTTGACGTATTGATCTTCAGTCCAAGAGATGGCATGCACCTATTGCTTTACAATGCTCAGAACCTCGTGATGGGCGTGACTAAGGTGTGGGTGTGCAGCTGAGTCAGGAGTGAAGGTGATGTAATATGTGATGTTCTTGCTGGTTTTCTGGCTTTCCACTTTTTGTGATTCTGCTTTGTCTTCATTGTAGCCTACTCTGTATTGTATTGTGGTGTTGCTCCAGTAGCCATGGCAACACCATAAGTATTTGTTTTCTCTATGAGGATTGCACAGGTTGAGCCAGCAGGCTTTGCAAATGATTAATAAGGTTGCAACAAAAAGTTACAGGTTGTTACCAATCTTAGTGAGTGAATTATCATGTGAACTATCAAATAACTAATGTAGTATGTGCCCTGTAATGATTAGTTTGTATTACTATTGGTGCTATAATAATAGTGAATCTTAAATGCAGTGAACTGTTTTCTTAGTAAGCAATTATTTTAAATTATATAAGTACCATGCATGACAGCTACTACATATGGAGGGGTCTGACATTAGGCATGTTTGTACCCTTTAACATGAGAATTGCATTTATATTATATTTATTTGTATCATTTCCAGCCCCAAGAAGTAAGATAACAATGAATGATATCTGTCATTTGGCTCTTAAACAGAAGGTTGCGGAAGAAGAAGAGAACACTTTGCACTGGGCATAAGTGTCAGTAATGGCTGGCATGTTCATGAAGCAAGAATTTGACGGAACATTATTTTTTACCACTTGCAAGGAATCCTTTCATGTATTTCTACCTTGTTCTGGACCTTCAATATTGCAAATGCAGTGAAAAATCAGCATCCCATGTTTAAATCAGTAGTGAGATATGTGATCCTGGGAATTATGCTATTAAATACAGCATGGCAACTCAAATAGTATAAGTTGCCTGTTTCTCCCTTCTTGTATCACTTGAACACACCTGGTTTTGTTCAGTATTATATAGTAGATACAAGAGGAACCAACTTAATGAGACAGATACAAGGTTGATGTAGGTATCTATAGATAAATTAAGTTATTCTTTATATTTTCATATTTGGCACTGTTTTTGTGGCCTGATGCATCTCTGCTTGGCAACATTTGGACCATGCTGGTATGATGTGTGATTGTTATCAGAGTCTATTTTGTTGTACTTTTTTTATCTACCTCTGCAATGCTTGTATAGATGACCAGCAATATGGTAAGCTATTATTAAGCAAAGGTTGAATGACATTTGATTCCAGCATGCAAGCTAAACTTGGTGTGTTATTGTTAGGACAATAGAAGCTAGGTAAAAGGGTTCATGGCACAAATTTCAAAGCAACACTGGATTATTTTACTTATGCAATTATGCTGCACAATTTTAGCTCTCAGTAGATATTTGGCATGGTTAAGTGTAGGTAACATTAAGTGAATGTTGTGGTGTTGCATGCATTCCAAGTTTTAATGTATTCTTTATTTCGAGTCTGCTAGAAATGGTGAAGGGCAATGATCCTCATATGCATGGGATTGTCAATCAGACAGATGTTTTGAGGATCAAATAAAAAAGCCCCTGTCTGTTTTAAGGCTTCAAACCCACTGGTTTCTTAGCATGCCTGGTACACACCCATGCAGACTATTCAAGGTCACCCAGATAGGCATACCATACCATAAAAATTTGCCACTGCCCATCTGACCATAGAAATGCTATTTGGTCAGAGGTCAGGTCAGACTATTTGGTCAGGACAGCAGAAAATTAACAGCAAGCGTGCAGACAAAACCTTGGCCAGTTCCCTTGGGGTTTGGCTCTGCTAGATAAAAAATAAAAAGAATTGATTGGTGCAGCATAATGAGAAACATTGATTTTCATTGCAGATTTATCCAAATTTGCATAATGGACTGTGGTCTTTGGCTCTTTACAGCATACTTTTGGCTGTGAGGACCATTGACCTGCGAGGAAAAGTATTTTGTTGAGGGTTGTGCTGCCAGAAGGCTTTGTTGTGGAATGCATTGCTGCATCACCCTCCTTACATACTCCTTTGCCCAACCTATAATCTGAAGTATTGAAGATGGTAAATGACCATTTAGGATGTGTGGTAATATGAGAACCCATTTCAATCATATGTTGACTCAGCAAAAGTAAGGAACCTTAAAAAGCAGCATGTCCCAAAATGCCTGTCACAAGTTGCGTACCACAGGGTATTGTTGGGTGCCTCAATTTTAGCTTGCTTGTTTCATCAGCTGAGGAAGCCACCAAGCTTTTTCACCCAAGCCAACAAGGCTTTCCAGTGTGGTATGTAAAACCAGAAGGGGAGAAATAAGCCTAGGTTATAAAAAACCACACGTAATAAACAGAAACACCGGTCTTGTTCTGGAATCAATATAGTACTCCACTAATTGTGTGACCCTGCTCCAGGGAAGAGTTTGAAGGTCTGATGTAGAAAGAAATTTGTGTGTGCCTACTCAATGTTAAGGCTCACCTTTCAATATGAGAAATGAATAAGGCATGCAAATGGCATGAGGGTTGCAAATGTGTGCCTTGCTGATCATGAGCCAAACATAAAGCCAGACAAAACCTGTAAGTGGTTTGATTAATCAGCATTGGAAAACTTGGTGTTTCCTGGTATAATGTATGCCAGAAGATTCTGTACTCAGGATTGTGACTAGGTAAAATGAAATGTGTTATACTCCATCATGATGCAACAAGAACAGCTTTTGGAAAAAACTCACTTTATCTCTGTGTCAGGACAGAATAAAACCAGGATGTACAACAGCTTGAGACGTGCTGCTTCCATCAGGAGCCATGTATTGATATATGCAAGAGCACAAATATTGCACCCACCAGACTAACATGCCTAATAGCAAGCAGCCTGTGTTGCCACTTAGGTATATGATAAACCATGTATGAAAATGTAAAAAATAAAGCATGTCAATGCTGAATGGAATAGCCTATAAACAATGCCAGGAAATAAGAAATGGGTACTAGAATCGCACTGGTCTGTAGATTACCTTTACGCTATGCAGACCAACTCAAACTTGAACATGACTTAACCTACCATTGACGACGAACCGCATTAGTTGCCAAGGATGCAATGAAACACTCTTAAAAACCGCACGCCCAATCACCTACCGCAAAAGGCCGCCTACCCACGCGTCGCCACTGTGTCATGGCAATGCAAATAAGAGAATCACTCGCAATTCAGCGTCAGAAACGCCTGAACCATTCAGCGGCTTGCGCCCACCTCCCAGCTCAGGTTGGAGGTTGAACATAGGAAAACTCCAACTGGCTTTAATGATTCACCTCCTCGTGACTGATTTGTCAAGAGCATAAATATTCTGCACACGCCCATGCCATGAACAGACTTGTAAACATTTGGAGGGAAGCTGTATAGAGATGGGCATCACAATTATGAAGGACTTATTTGTACTCGCCCAGAACCGCCATGTGGCTGGATTTTTGGCCACTTCCTGGTATTCGGAGTACAAAAATGTTAAGGCAGCTGTGGATTTAAACCAAGTTGAATGTCACATTAAAGCTGGTAATTCAGGCTTTACAAAATACTCTTTTAATAAAAAATAAAAGTTAAAATACCCAAAATGTCCTTTAAATGTTGCTATAAATAGCCCAAAAACTGTTCGGAGACAACCATCTCACTCCGGCAAGAGCGCCAGGACACTAGAGTGACATGAATCCATGACTGGCCCGGCAAAGTAAGGAGAAGGGCTTATTAGGACAAAAACATCAATTAATGGCATCATAAGTTATCATCTTGTGCAATATCAGTTAAAGCGCATCAAAATCCATTAATGCATTGCATTATCCGTCGGAGCCAGCGGAGTGACTGACTCCGATCTCTTTTGGCCGGCCTACACGGGTCTGTCAGGCATTGTGCTTGCGCTGGCTCAGTAAATGGCTGGAGAGTGCTGTCTGTCTCTATTGTTTGGGTGGGACGTGCAGGGCCTCGGGTGTTAGCTGGGTGTGGGAAGGTGGAGAGCATGAATGTTTAGCTGTGTTTAAAACCAGCTAGCTGGTGGAGCGTGACCGTGGTGGGGCGAGAGTAGCGTGATCGTGGTGGAGCATGAGAGGGTGGCCGTCTGTGGCGTGCTCATTCGCATGTATTGTGTACTGTTTTTGTCTGGCTGTGCGTATCGTACCCAACCTCCATTTTGGAGAGTGTATAAACTTGCCGCGTAATTACCCTCCATTTTGAAGGATGTATACACAGAGCCTTTCATAAATTGCAAACCAATGAATATGCACATGTGTTTCATAGTACAGAGCATGAGACTGTTGTTTCAGTGTGGCATGATTAATACTGATGTTTCCTTTCATTTAAAATGCTTCTACATGAATTGCTGTATATGAAAAGTGGCACGTTTGTGGAGCGCCACCCATTGTACTATTATCTCTGAAAGATAACCTAAACATAGCTGTAATGACCCACAGCACTTTGGTAGTTTTGTACTCCACTATAGAAAATTTGTACTCCGCTACCAGGAAAATTTGTAGAATTGCCAACACTGATTAATTGAACACATGATCACTGTGGAAGTGAAGCAAGTCTAACTTTGGTGGCTGTCGGTGAAAGCCAAAACTTCCACAAAATGTTGTATCAAACAGGAGAGGGAACAGAGCTGTGTCACTTCATTGGTATGTCAGTGAAAATCATATAGGCTAAGGCTGGTCTGTAATCTCCAGAAAACAATGTGGGCATTTTTTGCACAAGGTTGTTTATGGACATTGCGGCAGAGATGTGAATGAAGTATTTCCTTAACCAAGAACAACCAGAACGGCCGCCAACGAACGGCCGACCTACCCAGTGTGATGTGCTGTTCCTGAATCTGAACACTGTCAAGGATTTAAAGATCACCAAGGAGGTTAACAGTCCCACGGAGCTTACGCTTCAGAACCTGGACATGAACTTGGTGAGTGTCCCAATCTTCAAGACTGTGATGCTTGGCCTGGCTGTAATAATCGTGTTATTAAAAATGACAAAGTAAACTCACTTAGTGTGTTGGGCATCTGTAAGACATAGACTATAACATAGCTTGGGTTTGGTGCATTTTGAGTCATTGCCCAATTTGGCACCGGTATATGCAACTGAACGCACTGGTCACCGACTTGAATCCAGATGCCTAAAGCTGACCCAGCGCGGGTGGCCTGGCTGGAGTAGACTGCCGCCAGCAGGCCCAGCTGTCATGCAATGACTGCTCTCCACGCAGCAGCTCATGGTGGCCATGTTTTCAGTTGTCCGCCCGGAAGGAGGCGGAACTGGAGAAGAAGCGGCGTCTGGTGGCGGCCATCAAGGCCAACGTGTCAGACGAGGGTCGCGACCTCTTTGCACACATCGCCAAGACGTACGTACCCGTACCGCCCTGCTTATGGTGTTGATGTACCTGTTTTTCTTTGCTGTCATAGGCAGCCATTTGCGTGTTGCATGCCTGCCTGCGGTGTGTGATGAACGTGTGACCAAGCGAACGAATGGCATCAGATTAATTTATCCTGTATTATGTGACAGTATCATGTTGATCAGGGGGTAACAATTTTGGGTTTTATCAGTTTTTGTGCTTTTAAAATCTGGCATGTTCTGTCAGAAGACCAGATAGCCATAATACTCCAAAATTTAGCGCCCTATTGACATGTCTTGACCGCAGTGGTATTTCAGTCAATGTGTGATACATTCACAGAAATTGGCTTTTGGATCCATGCCCTTTGAACAGGTGTCACAGCATAAGTGCTACGGCAAAGACTCCTACGGACAAGAGTGCTACGACATCAGCTATACGCGATAGTATCTTTATGGCAAAACCTTACACACAGACTTAGCTTATAAGTGACTATACTATACTTCTGTTGCAAAGACTTATACAGATGTCGAGTGCTCACAACAAAATGTATGCTTTTAAAACTTATGCTTGTCATTGCCTATACAGCCAAGACTTTGATGTATTTCATTGGACATTACATTATACTGCAATGCGGTTAGTTCTACTTGTTATTTTGCTGGTAATATATGGCAGTCTATGGCGCTAGTGGCTTCTGTCAGTTGTTTAAAATGGTAAAAGCTGGCTGGCGGCAACTTTGCAGCCAGTTGTTGCCAGTCCCAATATTAAATGTTAACCGAGATGACGGTACGGCACACTGACAATTGGACGCCAGCATCAATTGTTCCCGTGCCGCTGCGTTGGCGCACAGAGACGAACATCTCACGCGTTGTGGTATGGCGGGACGCGCGGTCTGTCTGGACACCAGGGCTGGTCCCTTCCCGTGCCCTCGTCGCCTCGCCCCCCTCCCCCCCCCCCCGTCCCGGCGGCCGGCCGCGCTCACCTGATTCCCGACGTCGCGCCGGCAGTCTGGAAGAGATCCAGTGGAGCGGCACCGACATCGTGGTGATGAACCAGGTCACCATCAAGGCGCCCTACCAGACGGCCAACATGGCCGGCCAGACCGATAGCCAAGCCTACCAATACGTCTCCAAAATTGTGAGGACCCATGCAGACCTGTGCGTGTGAAATGCCACGGAGTGCAAGTAAACTAGGCCTGACGCCCCCATTGCGTCGTGTTGCTCATGGAAGCGGCTCAGGCTTTCCCTTCCACGCTACGTATGGTACTAGCGCATGTGGTGCAGGAACGATGTTTGTCGCTCAGGTGTTTGTATGACTGTCGACTCGTGTAATTGCGATGGAATCCAACGCAAGCTTCCGCCGGTGGCAGTGGGCCAGTAGAGGTAAAAGGGTCTTCGAGTCGGGTGAAGCCGGAATATTGTATCATTCTTCGAGCTGCAGTATTTTCAGGCTGTCTTCGTACCCTGGTTTTGATAAGTAAAGGGGAACTGCAGACTGTCCAACCCCCTCATGTTACTTGCACTAGCGCAATATCCTTGGGTGTCGCGGACGTATTGCGGTTGCGGTCGTGTAACGTTACTGAGATCACGTAGCATTGGCCCAACTTTGTTCCCTTCCTCTGTGTCGTGCGCGCGTCCTCTCGTCACACCCTTGGCGGGAGCGTCGATCGAAAGGTTTCGACGGCTTGCCTCCTGCTCCAAGCAGCAGGTTGGACGCCGAAATTATCAACTGAACCCCCAGCGTCTAATCTAAGCGCCGTTCAGCATTGCACTTCAGTGGGCTTGGCGCGCGGTCTGCTGCACCGTACCCACTTGACTGATAGCCGCCAAGCTGCTAACCTGGCGCGTTCTCGCCGGCAGGTCGAGAAGTTCAACAACGAGCGGAGTTCGTCAGCAGCATCGCCAAGCCAATAGAGTACCATAACCCAACCCTGGTATCAGTGCATTATTTATGTTCGGCTGCCTAGTGTGAATGTTTCCAGCCTCCGCAATGCGCGATGTAAAACAGGCCCGCTCCATTAAATCCTGAAGCGATGAGGTTGTCGAGAAATTAGGCCAAAGCGGGTACGAGACAGCTTTTAATTTAAAATTTCGTTGACTGTTTGCGTGGTGTGAATGCTGCGCGCGGCGTCGTGGCGCGCAAGAGTCGGCGGTCGGCCGAGGTGTCGTTTGTATTATTTTATAAGGGTGTTCGTGGGTGGCGCTGTGCGGTGGTGTTGCCGCGGGGCACCAGCCGGACCGCGCGCCCCTCCCCTCCCCCTGCCGTGGCGGCATTTAGTATACAGAGCAGCCGCCCCCGCCCGATCCTCCGGCGGGGACGCGTGCTCAGGAGGCCTAGGTCCGCCCGGCAGGTCACAGTTTTGTACTCGGCACACTCAGCTCAAGCAAATTGAACGTGTCTGAGAGCGAAGTCGTGCGTGAGCTGGCGCGGAGAGAATACACTCCCGGAGGTGACGTGGCTGTTGTCGAGCGTAGTACAGCAGCGCTCGGGCGCCACACGCGCTCGACTGTGGCGCCGTTAGCGGCAGTTGTATTTACAGATGCGTGACGCGGAGACCGCCGAGATTCCGGCGCGGGGTTCCCCCTGCGCTCGCTGTCACCAGGATGAGGCCCCTCCCACGCTGCGCCACATCACAGGCAGAGCGGACGCGGAAACAGCGGCGCACCACAGGCACGCCGCCTGAAGACCATCGGGGGCCATGTTTCCTCACATCGCGCGCGAGCGTCACTTCTTGAAAGGAACGTCCTTCGGGAGGAACGGCATCGGCAGCAGTTCTTTCATACTGGTCCTCTTGGTCTGGCCGTCCGGTTTCGCCAGGATCACCGGCATCTCCGGATTGAATTCGGCCAGCACCTGGAACAAAGCGCCATGTGACAATCCGCATCGTGCGCTTCGCCAGCACCTGGAACAAAACGCCGTGTGATAGTCCACACCGTGCGCTTTGCTCGCCGCCCATCTTTACTCATATGTTCCTCTCACACGGGCTTGCCACATTTTATTCTCTACTGGCCGGTATGTCGTGGACCGCTGTCCGGGATCTTGGTCTAGGCGCAGCCATAACTGTGCCGTTTCCCATCGCACCATGTGGGCGTACGGGCCGGAAACTACTTTGTTTTGCACACTCACTGTTCATCAATGACCTAAAAATGGGAAGATATGCGATGGGTTGCTTCCAGCTACTGATGTAGGATAAATACGGTTGTATCCTTGCTCTGAATCGCGCTGTACATCATGGGGAGGGGACCCGACGCCACATTGTCCGATCGAAATGCATTTCGCGCATATTAGTCGATGGACGTGGTGCGACGGTGCCATGTAACCACGTCGTAACGTCTTTCGAACTGATTGTCGTCGAGACATCCAGTGTCTGACAAAGCGATCTGAAAGCCTTTTAAAATTTCAATTTTGTTCAGGAATGTTGCAATACTGTAACCTGCACTCATGGCTGCACCCAAGCCCCCGGCGGCTTACAAGCAACAATCCTGATTTCCCAGCACCGTTCCCATGCCTGGGGTCGGCCTCGTTTGAATGGTGACAAGCCCGCACTAATCTCTCCGATGGCTGGAGGCGCCCAGATCCACGCCACCAGCTAGCAGACCCCGCCGGCGTCGGCACGTCATCACCCACCTGTCTGCAGGCGCCGCACGGGCCGACGAACACGTCGCCCATCTCGGCAGCGATGGCGACGGCCGAGAACCGGCGGCGGCCCTCGGCCACGGCGCGGAACACGGCCGTGCGCTCGGCGCAGTTGGTCAGGCCGTACGAGGCGTTCTCGACGTTGCAGCCGGTGACGACATGGCCGTCGGCGCAGAGCAGCGCCGCGCCCACGGCGAACTGGCTGTAGGCACAGTACGCCTGCTCGCGCGCCTCCAGGCTGCTGGCCACCAGCTGGGCGATAGCAGCCTCTGTGGACGCGCCGACCCAACCAGGTCACGGCCGCGTCGGGAGGGGCGGTGTCGGGCTAGATGGTGTCTCGTTCAGGCGCTGACTGACCCGGCAAATGACCAAGCTTACTTGCAAAATGGTTGTGGTTTGTATGACCACGAAAGGTATGCGAGGTGTTGAATGGAATGGAAAACTGTTCCCAGTGCTTACAGAGAAAAGCACGTCCCTTTACCCGTTCACAAGAAGCCCCACGGTCATTTGAGCGTTTTTCGGCAAATCGCACCTTGCACCTCGCTTGATCATCCGTAACTATTATCCAAAGTCGTTGTCTTCAGCTTTGTAAAATGCATGTCACGCGGTCTCGGTGAGCATCCCTTCCAATGCAACGTTCAAATTTTGAGAGGTTAATCCGAGGACCGCAGGCATGACACCTAATGGTGCCCCTGGCACTGGTCTATTTACGCAGTTATGAAGGAAAGGCTGGAAAGTAACGACCGCTAATCCGAAGCGAGGTGAAAAACATCGACTAGCGAGTCTGATTTTCCATACTGAAAAGTCATGGTAATCAGCACAGTACTCCGTAAATACCCGGCGGTCTGCGGTGCCTCACCGTCCATTGTCGGCGGCTCAGCGGGCTCCGGGGGACTCTTGGCCACTATCCTGATGGCGGGTCTCTTGGAGGGCGGGGACGCAGCGCCGTCCGGGGAGTTCCTGGGGGCATGAGCAGGGTCGGTATGCCGCGTAAAGGTCACGGGCCGGGCCGGGCCGGACCGCACTGGAGCGAGCTAGGGGCCGAATGCCAGGGTACAGTCGGAAACCTCAGCAGCTGAGGTTGGGTGACAAAACCGAACGCTGGTATTCTGAGACCGTCACCTAAAAAAGCGTCAATCGAGCCATAGCTCAAAATACATCAACAGGATAGATACGGTGTCAGCCGGCCGCCGCACATGGGTATCGAGTGACCGACGCGCCCTTGGGCAGGTCATCATTTTTCGTTCCGAAACTGTAAAATAAGATTGGAAACACTGTCGTCCTTTTCTTGTTCACATACATCCCGTGCTTCGTGTCTCTGACTACAGTTTTCCGCAATCCTGCAACCTTAATCACTGCCCGCTTCAACCGACCTGCTGAGCCCGGCTTTTTGTCACTGACGTGAACTGGCCCCTGGCAGCGTATCCCTAACGTATCACATTATGATTGTCCTCACCGCCTACGTCCTACGCCTCACCCTTTGCCTTCAATTCCCTTTTGAATGTACGTCCACGTCACCGCGGCTCGTGAACTACCCGCCACCGGAGTGCGTAATTGGTCCGCCTCCAAACAAGACTCAGTACAACACAAATCTGATAAAAACAATACCATACCAGTCCGATCAACAATATACAATACCGCTTAGATGGAACAGTGCTCGCGAAACGTAAGACATGTTAAGTATGCAATAGCATTGCAATGGCCTTACAGTGAGTTTATCTGTAACAGCCGTTAAATTATATGCATTTTGAATCAATTGTTGGTTACGGACCTTGCTCACAGCTTCAAAAAGTAAAAACTTAAAATGAACACCAGACAATGTTGAAAGCGTTTTCTCCTCAGAGCACACGTGATAAAACTATGTAAATCGCTCACACTTTGACCGAACAAATCATAAAAAAACGGACGAAAAAACACGGTGCTAGTGCTTGGCCAGTGAAAGCTAGTGTATTTCGCTTGAAAAAAGCCAGCACATTTTATTGGTGCAAAGCTAGTACATTTCACTTGTACAGAGCGGGGGTATTTTATCGTCTGTGATTTACTGTAATTGGTTCGGTCGAGGCGTGGGCAATGCGAGGCACTTCACGTGTGTTCTTAGGAAAAACGCTGGCACGCCTGGCATCTGGTGTCCGTATCACATTTGTACTTTCCGCATCTGTGAGCAAGGTTCGTGGCCGAAAATTCGTTCGAAATACGTGTTACATTACAACTTCCACGTATGTTATCATTGTACGGTCCCTTTCATTCAAATCAATACAATATCACAGGTAAAAAGCTGCTAACATAGACCGTACTTCAAGGACACGCCCGAATACGGTCGCACGTTTCGCTTTCAAACCAGCCGTGAGTCGCAGCGCAGGTCCCGGTGCGTCATTTTTCGGGCCCGATCACCAATCAGCTCCCATCCGTTCTACGGAACGTTTACCACGAGGTGTCGTTTAGGTGAAACAAATGTTCGGAATAGTAGCCACCAACGCTAGTGCCATAAACAAGGGCTGGGAGACGTTGCTTGCTGAAACGTCATATAGGCAGTACACCAATGATGTGGAGTGATCGCAAAACACATTTGACAAGAGAAAGTGAATACCTGCACATAATATTACGTTTACTGGTGAACTGATGCTCGTGAATGTGTGCATGTGCATGTAATACATAGTGAAAGAACAGACCAAGACGAGCACTGCAGCCCGAGTAGTTTCCAAATGTGTAGTACACACTGCTTTGGCCTTTTTTGTTTGTTTTGTCCACGCGTTTAGGTACCTATTCCTGGCGCGTAACAATGTACAACAAAACCGCCGCAGGCCGGGCCAACATCTTTACGTGCAAAACAATAACCAGCAGTGGTAACGAGCTGATCAACAGCTGCTGACGTAAGAGAAGCAACAGAAAAACCAACACAGCCTCCTGTTAGTAAGGCGGCAGGAAAACCGCGACCAGTCGAGGGCCAACGCATGAACAGCAAGTACCAGGCCAGTGTCGGGAAAATGGAACGTTGATTTCAGAAGGAACATAGAGAAACCATCGAGGATGGAACTAGGCAACTGTTGAGTCATCAGGCAAACGGTCCACAACCAGCGCGACAACCACAAAGCTTGCAGCGAGTAACGCAACCTAGAGCCAGCAGAAGAGTATCAATGTACAAACGATGCAGGGGGAGTGATATAGCTAGTGCCATACCACTAGCGGAAGCTGGAAATATGCTCACGTGTGTATTTATGCAGGCATGCGTTACAGTCCTGCAATGTGTGTTTTCACTATGCTCGACTAGGTGACAAAAATTTTGCTGATTTGAACCTAGCCAAAGCACCACTCTCCCAAAACAATTTTGTGTCACAGGTTCTGCCCGTTCCCGCATTCCGAGAAACGTCTTGTGCTGTAAGTCATCAACTGGAGATGCCCGGTCCATTCGCGGCCCGCAGGAGCCTTCGTGTCCCTCTGCCGCCACCAGCGTGGGCCGGACAAATGCCCGAGGTGCATGACATCAAACATCAAAAGGGCTGAAGGGTTTTGCAGAATACTGGCACAGAAACTGCTGCTGAACTGTGGAAAATAAGCAAGCGAAACCAGCCAGGAGAACAGCACAATTGACCTCCCTGTATGCCCACATGAAGTTTCCATCTCCACAATGCCGACGACGCTACAGGAAATAAAAGAAGACGCTCAGGTAACAATGAAGTATAATGCACGACATCTGACACATTAACAGGCAACAATATAAGCATGTAAAATCACAGCCTGCTAAGCACATTGTAAGTTGCTGTTCCAATCTTGCAACCATTAAGTCACAGCTAACAAGATGCCTTCAACAGAACGACACAGCCAAGGCACAGTAGCCACATGAACACAAAATTCAACGCGAGTGCATTCCTCTGACCACCGATGAGCCCGCGTTTGCGCCGCCCTGCGCTGCGCCGCCGGCGCCGGTGTTGGTCCGGGCGCGGCGCGCTGGAGGGTGGTGCGGCCTGGGGGAGTTACCGTCCGCCGCTGGACCAGACGCTCAGCTCCGAGTACTCCTCGAGGACGGACTCGTCGCGCGTCTGTCGGCGCAGGCGCGCCAGGAAGCTGGTCAGCTGGCGGGCCGTGAAGCCCGTGAAGCCCAGCTGGCGCAGTTCGGAGTCCATCACCGGCGCCTTGGTGATGCCAGCCCGGAACAGCCGGGTCGCCTCCTGCCGGCGCCGGTCCGCAGTCGCCGGTGATGAGGTGGGTCACCGCGGAGCCGTTGTGGTGGTGCGTTGGACGCCACACACCAATAATGTTAGACAAGGCTGCAGTTATAACAGATGCAATTACACAATGCATGTTCAAAAATTGTATGTGCAGCAGGATCATACAGAGACCAAGAACATTGCAATATCTAGTAAACCAGCATTGGCATGATTCCTTATTTTCTGGATATCCGTGAATATGATATAGCAGACAACTGGAGGAGCAATTGGATCCTTAGCCGTCCTGATAACCAACACGGAAGAACTGGGCCGACCGCCAAACTTTTAGCAAGAAAGACATCTTATGTTCATCGTCATCTTATGAATTTAGGCATCATGAGTTGGAAATTGTTGTCCTGAAAACAACAGGCCTTCATTATTCCATGAGGTGCTGGTTAAACAACATTATCATGTATGCATCGGTTCCATTGAAGGAACTAAGCATTTTGTGCCATGTACTCATCCTCAAAGTGACATTTGACCAAAGACCGCGTGAACAGCTGCCATCCGTGACGCGTCCTGCACGTGGCCGGCCAGGCCGGACAGGCCAGCCATTGATAGAATATCAACCAAGGACAGGCTTTGAAGTGTCACGTAATCTTCATGTAGCCAACGACTGCTTGATAATGTCATTTGACCAGAACCTCCTAATCTATTGAAAGTCAATTTCTTCCGGTATGAGGAGTCCCAGCACCCATCTCAAGTACAAAATATTGTTGCCAGCTCTGCAATTAACTGCATTTGGGTATTGCAATAGGAAGAAAAAAACTACTGGGTTCCTAACTACCCACTCCCAGATAACCGTCAGAGCAGCATGAATCCATGAATAACATTCAGTTTCACAGCAGTCATACAACACTGCTTAAGATCTGCATCAGGATATCACCCAGGTGGGGCTATGTGGACTACTTAAACCTACTTAAATCCTGAGAGCATCTGTTCCTGGCCACAATGTCCACCATGGACAATCACCAGGACATGTCCATGACCATGAATCCACCAATGCAAGTCACAGACAGAGGTGGTGTACTCACGCTTTTGGTTTCCTCTGAAAGACCCCAGCCAGAATGGGATCGCTCCTCATGCTGGTGCTCTTTGCCATTGGTGGAGATGATAATGTTCTCACTGGAGCTCTCATACAGGGCTTCCAGTTGCACCAGGCATCCAGCACCAGTGCACTGAAAGTACTCTTTGGCACCCCGAGATGTGTATGAGGTTCGTCTCCTGCACCATTTGTAGCCACTTGCTGTTTCTGTGATGACAAAAGAAAGCTGTCAAGGTTGGTATCTCCAAGGGGTCTATAGTTAGAAAAAAATGTGTTACAAGAATTATAAGAAATATCTACATTCTTCCCAATGCTCAGCAGTAACATGTGCAAGCAAGGTGATGCCTCACTCCTAGCAGGTTGCAGGCCCTAACATGATGACCAAGCATGTAAAGTGACAAATGCAGTCATCAAATATGTTTCAAAGCATGTGCACTTGGGAATTAGCCTTTCTAGTTCAAATTCATTAGGGTTTGAAAATTAATACTTTGATACAATTTTGCAAATAGAGCAGTATTATGCATCATGCTTATGGTGTTATATGCAAATATTGTTATACCATCCCATATCATCATCCAGGGGAAGCATTCTGGATGCATGACCTACAGGTATATAGGGGCAGAGGTACAGGTTTGACTCCCCACTATGTGTGCCATGCAGTTCTTGCCAGGG